CCCTAAGGGGAAACCCGCGGAGGGAGGGAAGGGATAAACGGAGGGCAAAGGGGAAGACAGGGCCAGATTGTTCCCCCATTCGGGAGGACGACCCCGGCTAGTCGCCGACCACACCCACAAAGAACCCTGCACAAAGATCGCAAGGGCGGGGACCTGTTCCTTTTTACCCATCTCCTAGTAGAGGTGTCCGTTTTATTTATTTATTTACCCGCGCGCGGGGAAGAGAGAGACAAGTAATAATGTCCTGGTAGGTGTGTAGACTCTACTCGGCGGCCGGCGCTGCAGCCTCCGCCGGCGCGGGCTCATCGGACGGCGCGACGTTGGAAAGGTGCACGGCGACCTCGCGCTTGAGCAGCCGGCCCTGCTCGCCCTCCTTCATCGGCTTGACGTGCTTGGTGCGCACCTGCCGTGCCCGTGGCGATGAGGGTGAGGGAAACGCGCGGCGGCGGCTGATTCGTGGTGCTGTGGCGCTGATCGGCGGCGATCGTGGGTGGCGATAGCGGGTGGTGGACGAAGCGGCGAGCTGGCCAGGTGCCCAGAGTCAGGCGATGTGGACGCAGCTGTGTGGCGCGCACATTGACTCCCTCGACGACAACCTTGTTCGTTTTCCGGTCGAGCGAGATGACCTGCGCGTGCAATGGGACGTCGGTGAGGTCTTGCCTCCCAGCCTCGCACGCGAGCGGAGGCGCGGCCGGCTTGCGCGGGGCGTCGGGCGCTCCTTTCCGACGGCGCCCTTGTCGTCTCCCGAAAGGATCTTGACCATGTCGCCAGTGCGGAAGGCAGCGGCCGCCATCATCGTCGGGCAGCCGCGGGCGGCGGCCGCCGGGGCAGTCCGCGCGCCGAGCGAAAGCGCGCTGGCGCTGGCCAAGAGGCCGAGCAGCAAGCAGGAGACGCTCCGAGCCATCTCTGCTGAGCTCGCAAAAGAAATCGCGCGCGCGTGCTTGCTGGTCAGGCCTAGGGTCAGGCCCTCAGGCGTCGTCGCTTCGGCTCTCGCGGCGCGCTGCGGGGACGACGCTTCTTCTTGAGACCCTCCCCGACTCCTCTTCTCCCTTTTCCCTGCAAGGTGGAGAGACTTTGTCGTCCTTCACTCCCATATCGCCCCGGCAGCCCTCTTAACACTGGCCCACCTCCCGGGGCACCTCTTGACTTCTAACACTGGCTGCTGCGCAGCACTCTTTTCAGTGCCCGGTTGCACGCTTTCTTGAGGGTTTTGAACTTCCCGTCGACCCGGTTGAGCACATTGTTTTTATAGTTGCCGCCCGTCCCTGAGGCAACGAGCGCGAAGACTGTTATCGGTGTGGACAGAGGTGTTCGGGCAGTGGGCCGAGGGCCGTGTGACGGCGTGTACATGCCCCGGCGCAGAAGCGGTGCCCTTTCGAGCCGTCTAGGCGCTGCTTCTGCCGGATGCCCGGGATGGTCGCCGAGGTCAGCTTGCCGGAGTACTCGCCGTTGCAACCCCAATTTGGTTCGGAGCTGGTCAGGTGCGTGTAGATGGCCTTGGCGTGAGTCGCGACGTCCGGTGGGTTGGGAACGTCGGCGGTGAAGCCTGGCAGGCACAGCGGCTGATAGCAGCCGACGATCTGCCAGACACCGCACATCGTACCGCCATTGCATGCGGACGAGTCGAACGGCGCGCCGGCGGAGATAGTGCACTGGCCGATGTCGTAAGACTCGCTCACAGCGATCGCCAACGCAGGGAGACACATCTTCTTCATGTCTTTTCGAAGCCTGTTGTTCACGCAGACGTCGTGGCCGTCATCTGATGCAAGCTGCTCGTACGCCTGAAACCACTTCTCCGCAACATCGTCGAAGGTGAGGCAATGCGCAGGCGGCTGAGAGCCTCCGCTCGCAGACCGAGCCAGCCGCTGTGTGCTGCCGCTCGCAGACCGAGCCAGCCGCTGTGTGCTGCCGTTGACGAACTGGCCTAGTTGTTGGGACCTGTTGCTGTCGACGGGTCCGGGATCATAGCTGTCGTAGTCATAATCGTAGCTGGAGGGAGGCTGCGGGCGCGGGCTGAAGCCAAGGAGCGCGGCGAAGCCCAGGAGGGAGGCAACCATGAAAAGGGCGTGGCGCTCGGCTCTCGCCTCGAATCAGCGTGGGCTATGTCTCGTGACCCAGCCGCCGCGAGGCACGGACGCGCTCTGACGAGTCAAAAACCGGCGGCCGCGAAACGAACGCCGGCAAGGGCCGGGCGACGTTGCTTGAGGAAAAAGAATTTACAACGCCGCCTCGCACGACACTGGGCACGGGACTGGCGCGCACTGGCACTAACACGGGTACACTACGGGAGCCGCCAAGCGACTCCCGCGAGGGCGGCGAGGCACTTAGCTCCGTGCACCCGCCCGCCCCCGCCAGCCGCACGCAGGCAAGCTCGTTCACAATCTGCTCTGCGATTGCCGTGTGAAGAACGACCGAGATACGCTGCTGCTGCAGCCCCAGCCAGTTCTTAGATCTAGTGGTCCAAGTCACCTCATCGAGGTATTGGGCCCGCGTCAGCTTGTTCTGTAGCACGTCCGCCGCCTTCCAGAGGGGATCGCTCCATCTCCGCAATTGGAACGCCCGCAGAGGCAGCAGAAGCACTCACACCCGGTCCAGCCACTGTGCACCCCAGTTCGCCCCGGGCACTCTTCGGGCAGCCAGGAGCATCCCAGCTCTGCTGCCTATTGGGCCTCTCACCGCGCGAAGGCAGTAATATACCGGCAGAGTGACAGTCGGCACTTCAGTCGGCAGCCCCGGCCCGCAAGAAAAAGAAAAACGAACCGTTCTCGACATACTCTATACGATCATACTACAGTACAAGATAATCGCAACGTACCGTACAGACGTCAAGACGTCATGCGGAAGCCAGTGCTTCGGCAGCCCTTTCAACGTTCCCTTCGTACGTGTCGAGCATCGTCCTGGGCGCAGGCGCCGCAAACGGGTTCGCAAGTTGGAGGGACCGACCGGCCGCGCCGCCTAGCAGACTAGCTCCGCTGGCTGTTGGCATCTTTGCTTTGCGCATCTTGCGTTGCTGAAGGATCGCCTCGTCCGCCTTCTGCCAGGTGCCCGGATCGGCGGAGCTCTCGCCGTCTTCATCGTTCCAGTCCTCGCTGTCGTCCGTCGAGATCACTGGGTCAGAGAATGTAGAGCGGGAGAGAGGTTTCTTCATCTGCGCACTGCGGGCATAGGCCGCGCAACTAGGGTCGCCGCAACTCCGCTGGCCTGGCCGGGTCTCGCGGAGACCCCCTTCCCGAACCCGCCGAACAGTCGAGAACAGCAGCAGCTGCACTTCGACGTCCTTGTCTTCCCTGGCGTAGCGATAGTCCCCGCTGTAGGACGGTATGCGGCGGTCGCCGCCCACCACCCTGCCCCTGGTATGCCAGCGCCCGGTCCTCCCTTGCCCTCTCTCACGTGAGCAGGAAGAATCCGCGGCCTTCACGTTTCTTTTGGATCCCGTGGTGTACCTTCGTAGTACCGGTCTGCATTTCTTTTCGGCTTCCGCCTCCTGGCTGAGCTCCGAACGCACGCGTCGTTTGCGACTCAATGAAGCTGGCCCGCCTTCGCGGGCCGCACCGGCGCATTAGCAGCGGCGCGGGCCTGCCGTATCGGATACGCGTGCCACTGGCGAAGCTGCAGGAGCGCAAGAACCTGCCGCGCGAGGAGACGCGTGCGCCGGCGCTCGGAGATGGCGAGCAGTTGGAGTCGATGGACTCGGCTCCCGACTACGTGCGGCTGGCACTGACGTCGCGGGTGTACGACCTCGTCACCGCTTCGCCGCTGCAGTATGCTCCCGGCCTCTCTCACCGCCTCGGCGCTTGCGTGCACTTCAAGCGCGAGGACCTGCTGCCGTCCTTCTCATACAAGATCCGCGGTGCGGCGAAACTAGCCGAGATGCGGCGGCCGAGATTTAATTTTCCGGCCGAGAGATGCAGGCGGTTCCAGCCGAGGTGAAGCCGAGAGAGACGGCCAACCATGATGGCCGGAGGGATCTCTGCCCTCTCCGCCATCCGCATCCGCGAGGCTTATTTGGCTGCTGCCGCCGTAGGCGCCTTCAACCTTCTCGACTCCGTGCGTCGCGAGGGCGCGAGCAGCCCCCACCCCCTTGCCCACCGGCGCCCAGGCCAGACCGCGCCACACGCCCACCGCCACGCCTTCCTGCAGGCGCGACCAGCGTTGTCACCTACTCCGTCGGCGGACAGGGCCACTCCCTTGCCGTCGCCGCCTCTGCGCTGGGCACCGCTCGCCTAGATGCGGCCGAGAGGGCCATGCTCGGTCCACGGCCGGACGGCGTCGCCATCGACCGCTTCCCACTGCCACCACCGCCCGTTCTCCCACGCCCGGTCCCAGCCCTCCGGCGCCGGCTCTTCCCTCCACCACGCCACCCGCCCTCCCGTCCTGGCCACCCATATCTCCCCCTATCTTCCCATATCTCCCCCATATCTCCCTCATATCTCCCCAGGCATGCAGGCAACCATCGTGCTGCCCGAGCGGACGCCGCGCCAGCGGCGCTCGCAGATCGAGCGCGCGGGCGCGAACGTGGTGCCGCTCTCCTCCGCGGGCCGGAGCCGGAGCCGAGACGCAGCCGAGACTGAGCCGGCGCCGCACTGCGCAGGTGATACACGGCTCCGGTCTCGAGGATGCGAAGCGCGAGGCGCAGCGGCTCGCGCGCGAGGACGGGGGCGCCGTCTTCTGCCACCTGCACGACGACGTGCGGGTCATCTCCGGCAACGCGACCTGCGGCCTCGAGATCGTCCGGCAGCACTCTGCGGCCCTCGACCCGCTCATGCAGCAGAAGCGCGCCCTAAGCCGCACCGGCCGCTTCTCAAACGGAATCGCGCCGCACGCGATGCGCGGCGCGGCGGAGGCGGTCGCCCGGGCAAACGGCCACCTGCCGCCCGGCACTGGCCAGTCGCTCGACGCACTCTTCGTCTGCGCGGCGGCGGAGGCCCCCTCGAGGAGCCTTCTCGGAGCCGTCTCGGAGCCTCCCTGCAGGCAATCTTCGTCTGCACGGGCGGGGGCTCTCTGATCGCCGGCGTCGCGGCCATCGTCAAGCAGCTCATGCCCGGTCCGAGCGACGCTGTCCGAGAGGCGGCCGCGAGGCGGGAGGGGGCCCGCCTCACGCCGCGGCACTGCCTCGAGCAGGCACCAAGGTCATCGGAGTCGAGCCGGAGGAGAACAACTTGATGCAGCGCTCGCTGCTCGCCGGGCACCGGCCGAAGCTCTCCGAGCCGTCCCACTTCGTGGACGGCGCGGCGGCGCGGCAGCTCGCCTCTCAGCCTCTGGACATCCTCTCCTCACGCCAGCGGACAAAGTAGGCGCGGCGGTGCAGCAGCTCGGCTCGGAGGTCTTCCGGCTGTGCGACTCGCTCGTCGACGACGTGGTGGCTGTCTCGAGGGACGGGAGATCCGCCCGAGGTCACGGACACCTCTCGGACGCGTCTCGGGCCCCTCCTCCAGGTGACCGTCTCGACAGACGAGATCTGCGCCGCCGTCCGCGACTGCTTCGAGGACACACGCGCAATGCTCGAGCCGGCCGGCGCCATCTCCGTCGCAGGCCTGAAGCGCTGGCTCGCGACGCGGCCCGCCGCGGCAGGCGGCGCCTCGCGCGGTGAGCTTGCCGTCCCCCTCCCCTCCCCGTGGCGAGGCGCCGCGTCCTTGACTGGGCGGCGTGTGTGTGTGGACAGGCAACTACGTCGTCATCTCTAGCGACGCGAGCTGTATCGAGTTCGACATCCTGCGCTTCATCTCGGAGCGAGCCTCGTACGGCGACGCGGACCCGGGCTGCCCGGGCCATCGGAGGGCTCCGCCGAGGCTGAGCCGAGGCTGGTCCGAGGAGTAGGCGAGCAGACGGAGCGGCTGTACGCGCTCAAGATGCCCGACCGCAGCGGCATGTTCTACGAGGTGTACAAGGCGGTGCAGCCTCGCTGGGTGCCCGCCGCGCTCCCTCCTCCGCCTTGAGGCGGGAGGACGGCGCCTCGTTACGCCCGCCCTCTGCCGCCGCGCAGGTGACCGAGTTCATCTTCCGGCACGAGCCGTCGAAGGATGCCGTCGTGTACATGTCGCTCGAGCGGCCGACCACG